GCGGCAGGTCTATTAATGCTATGTGTGCTTCAAGCGCTGCACGGAGGAGAAATCTACCTCTTCGTTTCTCCAAACAAAACCGTGCAAAGCTGTAGTTTCAGTTTCCATTTTCACTGCTGCTGTTAAATACAGAATGATGTTGGTGGCCAGAGGAGGATGTTGTTGAGGAAGTGAATATACTGTTGGTGCTCGCGTGTGTCGTGTTGTAAAGTTCCACTGCCCACTACTGGCCGGGCACTCGAACTACACTGTTGTCCGTCATCGAGTAGACGCTGTGCACTTTGATTATGGAGCCTGGTCATTTTTGCAAATTGCTTTGCAGCATCTCGGCAGCGTCTCCGTAGCGTCTCGGCAGAGTCTGCGTCTAAACAGGGCCTCAGTGGGAGCTACGTCTTTATAAAATTTGCCAAATAAAACATGTGATTTTATCTTTGTGTTTCTATGAAGGAATGAAGAATCTGTTCTTTCCCAGTGAGAGTCCTTCGCTTCTCTGACAAACTGTAGCAGCAGCATTTCTCTGAGTTCAGTCCCAGTGGCTTCAGGACTGCTGCTCTGGACGCAAACTTACCGCTACTGTTACCTCCTGGTTATTACAGAGAGACAGGAGAGAGACCAGAGAGAGACTAGAGAAAGAGACAGGAGAGAAAGCAGAGAGAGACAGGAGAGAGACTAGTGAGAGACCAGAGAGAGCAGATAGGGACAGGAGAGAAAGCAGAGAGAGACTAGAGAGAGAGAGAGAGATGAGAGGGACCAGAGAGAAAGACAGGAGAGAGAGCAGAGAGGGACTGGAGAGAGGCCAGAGAGAGAGAAGAGTGAGACTAGAGAGTGACAGGAGAGGAAGAGATGGTATTTATTTTCTATGTACATTTCAATACATAAAATGCAAAGATAAATAAAATATAAGATTTTGTTTAAGCCAAAATACAAAATATGTCTTTAAAATAGTTTTTCTTGGTCACTTTTCCACTCGTCGGTGTCCATATCTCTCCTTGTCTTAAATCTTTGTTGGCAGACAGACCTCTCACTTGCCTTATGGAGTCCTTTGTACACGTGGGCACCTGGGTTCCTTCAAATGTCGCACTGATCTGAAGCGTCGCCGTTTCAACACAATCAGAGCCGCAAATGTCAAGTCCAGCCATCCTTTCTCCTGCCGCGGCCGCCCTATTGACGCCTACAGAGGAATAAAGCCAAATATCAAGGCATTTAAGAGGAGAAAGAGCAGGAAGCTAATGGACCGGTAATAGAGACAGGTTTATTTGTGTGATTGAGGTAAAATTAGTGAAAATGTTTGATTTAAAACCTTAAAAATTTACCTGAAAAATACATTGTCGCATATGCCTGACTTTTGACCATAGTTACGACCATATTTGGAATACATTGATCCATTGATTTGTGAGTTTTAGACCAATCCACACTTATCTATTGTTTTTAGTGGGAGTAATAGCAGTAGAAGCAGTTATAGTAGTAGAACCAGACTTTCCCATCTCCCCTCTCTCATATTAAAGTCATATTAAACTCCTCCCACATACAGACACACACACACTCACACAGTGCCCTCTGCACTGAGAGCATGCTGTAAAGAATAATAATGTTTGCCAATCTTCCGCTCCCACAATAACACGACCCATTGTCGGGCAGAGAGACCACGGCTTTGTCCCTGGAGGTAGCGTTAGCATGCTAGCAGCAGATAAGCACTCACAGCAACTGCTTTGTGGGGAATGCACTGTAAAAAAAATAGGGTTTTTGTTGACAGTGAGCGGCATGGTGGCTAGGTAGATAGAACTCTCGCTTCTCAGCAAGAAAGTCCTAGGTTCAGAAAGGTCTTTTTGAGTGGAGTTTGTTTGTTTTCCCCGTGTCTGCATACGTTCCCCCTACCACTAAAAACATTGTACATGTAATGACCTCACTCCCATTTTTGTGGGAGTGAGAGACAAACGGCCACAATTGTAAAGTGTTTGTGACTCTGGTCTGTGAAAGGCACAATATAGATAAAGATCACTTACCTACTTACTTAAACTTGTCTTGGGTTTGTTACTACGAGGTTCTCTCGTCACAGCTCAGACCAAAGTCTCAATATCCAGTGAATGTCGCATTTTTGACATAAACAGCTTCACTTGAATATCAGCTTGTGCCTCAACTCTCCTCTTCCACATCCCCACTCTCTCTGCTCTTGAGAGCAGTTTCAGTGACAGACTAATTCACCCTTGCTGTGTGAAGGAGAGGTTCCATAGGTCTTTCCTTCCTGCTGCTGTCAGACTGTACAATGAGAACTGCTGAGCCTGTAAATGTCATTCATCTGTAAATAAGTAAATACTAAAATCATGTGCAATGTGCACCACTGCAACTTCAGAATGTCACTGAACAATGTCACTTTACTTTTTCTACTTATTATCCTGCCCTCTATGTACAGAATATAACTCCACACTACATATATTATATATATATTTGAAAGACTATTATTGAAGCATTTACAGCATTTACAGATAGTTAAGAATTGTAGCTACTTCTTATTTTGTATATTTTTTTGTGCTCCCTGTGTGCTCTTACTACTCCTTTAGCTCCACAAAGGGTTCAGAAATGTACCCATGATCAGCTGAATAACTATTGCAAGTATTTACTTGAACCTGTAACTGTGCTCCACTTTATTGAGAAAGACCAAACAGAGACCAGAGAGAGACCAGAGACTAGAGAGACCGCAGAGAAACCAGAGAGAGTCTAGAGAGACCAGGAATTAGAGACTGGCCAGAGAGAGAACAGAGCGATCAGAGAGAGATAGACTTAAAGCTATCGCACAAATGATTCTTGTTGATTGTCACGACAGAAAGGGTAAGGCAAGCCAAGGCAAGTTTTTTTGTATAGCACAATTCATACACAAGGCAACTCAAAGTGCTGAACAAAATAGGATAGCATTAAAATCGTAAATAATCACAGTACATAAAAACTGTTTTAAACCTGGTTTTAAACATTGTCAGACAGGAGGCCTGTCTCACATCTTCAGGAAGATTGTTCCAAATTTTGGCAGCATGAATCTGAAATGCAGCCTCCCCATGTTTAGTCCTGACTCTGGGCACCAGCAGGAGTCCAGTCCCTGTGCTCCTCCCCTGTGCTGTGTAAAAAACTTAAAACGTTGTGAACAAATCAGACCACGACACACTGCCTTTATCTAATTAGAAACCCTTTGGGCTGAGAGCTGATTGGATGGGGGAGGGTGGTCCTCTTTTTTTAATCTTTTATGTCTAACTCCTAGCAATAAACAAGGTACTGTATAAAGAGCTAATACAGTAATTACAATCAGTAGTTTTGTGGCTTGAGTCTTCCTCCTGTAACACATTAGGCTGCTAAACCCTGATGCAATCCACCTGCTGGGGTCTAGCTAGAAAAAGTAAAAGTTTCATGTGTGTGACATGATTAATTATTTTTGTATCTTTCTTTTCATTTGTAGTTTTTGTTTTTAATTATGAAAAAATAAAATAAAACGTGAAATCAAGAAAGAGCCCTGTATAATTACCTCGGACACGGGCCGGGCTCGGGCACTTTTAATTATTCATAAAAAAAAAAAAAGAAAAGTCTGGCTTGATATGCGTTTCGGGCCTGACAATTCAGAAACCATGTCGGGCCGGGCCGAGCTGGGGCGCCACCCCCTTGGGCCAGGGCCGGGCTTTCTAGCTTTAAAATAATGCATGTTTTTAGGACTTTCTCTCACTCACTTTGAACAGAACTTTTAACAGTGCAGAAGCCTGGCCTCCTCCTGCTGCAGCTGAGTGCCAGATAACATCAACAAATATGTCCCGTGTTTTGCAGATCGCCTGAACAACAATTACATTCACAGAAAAATAAAGAAGGGGAGAGAGAGGGGAAGAAAGAGGGGGAGAGAGAGGGGGAGAAAGAGGGGGAGAGAGAGGGGGAGAAACAGCCCTCCAATGAGCTAGTGAGAGTGAACGCAGCAGAGCTTTTGGTTTAATAGCTGCTCTTCACGACACGCACGGGTGAAAGTTATTGCACAATTTCCGGCACAAAATGGTCTTTCTTTGTTTTATAGATGCACAATCAGACTGTGAGTCTCGCATCTGTGCACAGCTCTGTGGAGTAATAATTTACAAAATTCTGTATTTTATGTTGATTTTTGTTTAAGTAAAAGGGTAAAAGGATGTAGTGGTAGAATAGTGGGAGAATTAAAAAAATGCTCATTGAACCACAGAAGCTAAGCAGTGCAGTTCCTGGTTAGTACTGTGATGGTTGACCTCTGGGAACAGCAGGTGGCAGGTGACAAACTTGTTTCGTCCTGAGGCAAGACACTTCATTCACCAATATTTTCTAGAAGGTGTCTGATGAGTGTGTGAATGGTTGGTGGTGAGAGAAGCCAATGGCACATACTGGCTGTCTTGCCTCAGTCAATCTGTCCTAGGGCAGCTGTGGCTACATTGCTAGTTTATCACCATTGTGTATATAAGTAGTATGTATTGCTAACATTGCTAATACAACAGAATACATTATTTACCTCTTGTAATGTTCTTTGCTGGGTGTTTGTTAGCTTGTTATTGACATTCACACCCCTGTTGAATGTACAAAGAGAGACAAGAGAGAGACAAGAGATGTGACCAGAGAGAGAAACAAGAGAGAGAGAGAGAGAGACCAAAGAGACACCAGATACAGATACTTTAGAGAGACCATAGAGAGATGAGAAAGAGAGTCCTGGGAGAGAGAGAGGCCACAGACAGAGAGAAACAAAAGAAAGATTCGAGAAGCATCACAGAGAGAGGCAATAAAGAGACCATAGAGAGATGAGAGAGAAAGACCAGAGAGAGAGAGGCCAGTGACAGAGAGAAATGAGAGAACGAAACGAGAGAGACCAAAGAGAGAGGCCAGAAAGAGACCAGACAGACATAAAATGAACAATGCAAATTTAAAAACATTTGTGAATCTACTTAAGTCCACTTTAGTCCTGCTCTTAGAAGAAAACCAAACTCCATTTTAAACATGATATGTGTCTCTGTCCTCAGCTCCAGAGTGTGGGGGTGTGCTGGATGCCTCTGAGGCCGGGTACATCACGTCGCCCGGGTACCCGCTGGAGTACCCGCCTCACCAGAGCTGTCACTGGGTCGTCACAGCTCCCGAGCCCACGCAACGCATAGCCCTCAACTTCAACCCACACTTCGAGATTGAGCGGCTGGACTGCAAGTAAGGGATACAGGGACCCAGCCTTTAGGCCTGGCTGCTGTGATGTTTCTGATTAGAACGGTTGAACGGTTGTAAAGACTGTTTTTTGTGTAGGGGACCCAGTGTAGAGAGAGACCAGAGAGAGATCAGACAGAGAGAAGCCAAAGATAGAGACAAGAGAGAGACCATGAGGGAGAGACCCGAGGGAGACCAGAGAGAAACCAGAAAGAGCTCAGATAGAGAGAAGCCAAAGAGAGAGACCAGAGAGAAACTAGAGAGAGAGAAGCCAAAGAGACAAGAGAGGCCAGGGAGAGACCAGACAGAGCAAAACCAAGAGAGAGACCAGAGAGAAACTAGACAGAGAGAAGCCAAATAGAGCGACTAGAGAGAGAACAGAGAGAGAGAAGCCAAATAGAGAGCCTATAGAATTACCAATGTAGAGACCAGAGAGAAGCCAAAGAGAGAGACCAGAGAGAGACCACAAGGAGACAAAAGAGAGAGGCCAGAGAAAGACCAGAGAGGGACTAGAGAGAAATTGAATGAACAAGGCTAATTTAAAACAGGTATGAAGTCTTCTCCTAAAGACGAGATCTAACCCAGTCTTGTCCTATTACCACATTCTCTGCTTCCTCTAAGTGTGCTGCGGTCGCCTCCTTTTGACAATAATTACTCCTTCTACCCAACAATAGCTTTCTCTCTTTTACAAATTTGCGGCCGGCGTATGGAAGCCCAGAGTGGCCACCAGACCCTTTTTATTGCGGACGCTTTGTGGTGCAATTAAGCGCGGCGCCTTCCTTGCTCAAGGGCACGTTGGCGGGGCAGGAGATGACGGGTTATTTAGAAAGACTGGGTCAAGGAGAGGAGCAGGAAGAAGTTGAAGGGGTTTGAATGTGTGAATGATTTATAAATGTTTGGTGGAAAAGCTGAATGAAGGTCTATGAAGGAAAAGAGACAAGAGAGGGCAGAGAGTGAGAGGCCAGAGAGAGAGAGACTAGAGAGAGGTCAGAGAGAGACCAGAGAAGGGCCAGAGAGAGAGAGGCCAAAGGGACCAGCAAGAGGAAGAGACCAGAGAGAGAGAGGCCAGAAAGAGAAGAAGGTCCTTTATTCGTCCCGCAGTGGGGAAATTTAAGTTTGATGAATACACATACACATATACACACAAAGGCATGCAGCAAATACTACTTCCATGGAGAAGGCCAGAGTTGGAGGCCAGAGAGAGAGAGAGAGACCTCTGTAGAAAGGCCCTCCGCAAGTGTGCTTGATATATGCAATCTTTCACCTACCACACTCGATGCAAATGGAATTTAGTGCAATGAACCAGTTTGTAAAGTCAATGAGGATCGCCATAGAGTTAACACTCAGGGATGCGTTCTGTGCACAGAATAAACCTGTTTTTGATGTGAACACAGAGACCCACTCCCATCTCTGAGTGGAGTGAGGGACAAATGCCCAAAAATAACAATTGTAAAGCGCTTCGTGACTCTGGTCTGAGAAAGGCGCTATATAAATAAATATTACTTGCTTACTTACTTGAAAGGTTGGGCTGTGATGGAAAACAGGGAGGCCGAAGAGAGAGGCCAAAGAGACCAGAGAGAGAGAGGCAAGAGAGAGAGAGACCAGAGAGAGAGGCCAAAGAGACCAGAGACTGAGTGGCCAGAGAGAGATAACCAGAGAGCGAGAGATAGACCAGGGAGTGAGAGAGAGAGACCAGAGAGAGAGAGAGAGAGAGAGAAGAGAGATAAAGTGCAATGGAAAGTGTCTCAAGAGTGTGCTGGGCCTTCGCAAAGTTCACTTGGCGCACATGCAGGAAACTTTTGTGAAATTAACCCGTTTGCAACGTCAATGAAAATGGTCGTAGTATGCGTAGTCCATCTAAAACACTGAGTTCATGGTTACACAAATAATTTGATTGCAGATTCAAGGCCTGTATTTCTTCATTCTATTTAATGCACTGTGACTATTTATCATCGTTATGCCTTGTAATGCTGCTTTTTTTTTCGTTAGGTGCTTTGAGTTGCTGTGTGTATGAACTGTGCTATACAAGTAATCTTGCCATGCCTTGCTTTGCCTAAAAACGTTGCTATGATGGAAATTAGATTTATTATTTTGTCCTTGCTCTCAGAACCGTTAGCTTCTATCCCCAATATTCATGTATTTCTGCCTTTCTCACATGTTTATCTCAGCCCCAAAGAGTCTAATAGTGACTCACAGGGCTCTTTCTTACACAAAAGATAACATGTTTTATAATCAGATCATGACAACCAGTGGTCTGGTTTGTTTGCAAGACTCTTCCTTTTGGAACAAACAACACGGGCTATCTATGAAACGACAAAGTTACGTACCCCCGATTTAACAGCCCATGATACCACCCTCACGAGTTGTATGAGACTTAAGGCACGGTCACATAGGTTTTTTCAGGTGAACTGGGCCAAGTGGCCCGGATCGTCGTCACACTCGGTCCAGCTGGTGGCGCTAATACTAACTCCAGCGACGACCTCGTTGTCCTGGTTGATTTTCCGTTTCTCTTCCTGTTAGCTAACAGCTCAAGTACGGATTGCGTTGAAAGACACATCTCACACTTGTCCACATTTCTCTGATGCAAAGTGCAGCAGTTCACTGGGTAACATGTGTGTGCGTGTGCGTGTGTGTGTGTGCTCGCCGCGGACACGAGTGCACACACACACTCTCTCTTTAGTAACGAGCGTAAGAGCGCTGAGAAATGAATGAATAAGAATGAAAGAATTAAAAGTGTGCCGTACGAGCAGAGCAGGCAGGCAAAAATAAGTGTATGTTGGTGTGTTCTGGCGATTAAATAAAGACTGATCCTTGAATGTCTGAAGTATTATTGCAATCACTGTGAGAGCGAGGGTCAGAACAGAGAGAGTTATTCCCGTAGGAAACGCTTTTCTTTGGCCTTGCAGCGACACACCCCCCTGCGCCCCTCGACCACGGTCCGGGGCTTATATAAAAGGTTTAACACGGAGAATGCAAAAGTGCAGGAGAGGCGTGTGGGAAAAAATTCCTGTCACAACGGAAGACGTAATGTGACGCACAATATCAAGTCCCCACCACACCTCATCCCCCACTCGCCACACTGACCCCCCTCATCCGGGCTTTGGAAGCGGGCCGTGGCCGCAGTCTGAATCGTGCTTGAGCACACTTTGAGCAAACGTGCCAAAGCCTGGATCTAATCGCGAAGTGGGCCCTGGCCCACTTAAACAGAGCATCAATGAGTAGCTTTCTTAAGTTTGTGCATTATTCCATTGATGAAGACGGAGCCAAGTTTAAATGAGAGGAACAAAAGCCGGACCAAAGTTAATTCTTCTGGGAAATTCATTTTTATCTTGGTTAAAATCGTTTGACATTCCCACAATCCGCGACTATCTGGTGCCTAAATGCCAACAGCAGATTTTGCAAACTCGGGACAGATTCCTGAGCGCTTGAACGGCCAGGACGAACGGGTAAATATTTTGGAGAAGCGTCTAAATAGAAGCCAGCTGTGCTCTTGTTTCCCCCTCTCCGCAGAATAATGACGTTCATATGTTTTGTTTTGGAGCCGAAAGGAACAACGTCTTCGCAAGTTTCACAACCGAGGAACAAAGAGAGGTTTATCTGAGCGAAGCCAAGAACAAAACTCACATGTGAAAGTTAATTGTAACCTAGTGATTAGCCGTGTGGTTCTCAAACTGAGGGCCAGGGCTTAGTACAGAGACTGTATACAGATGGACAATGCAAACCTGCTAGCTCAATGAAGCTAGGGAAGTGCTCATGGCTTAAGTTTTGTCTCCTATTGACTTACATGTAAAAGTAAACTCCTTGAGCTCAATAACTGTTTGTGTCACACTCTTCTTGATTATAATTGATATTATCTTTGGAACGTTTGACAATGTTCTAATCTAGTGATTTCCCCTTGTCATTTAAAAAGTTGTTTTCTAAATCAGCGGTATTGGAATGATTCAGTAGTGTTGTGCAGGCCTTTTTGCTCAATAGTTGAAAATAATGCTTGTCAATAGAGGCCATAATGGGTTTTATTATAGCAGATTGGCATTATCCATTTATATACTGTCTGTGTTAGCATTTTTCATCTATCTATATACATTCTATATTAGCATTGTCCATCTGTATACAGTCTATGTTAGCATTTTCCATCTGTATACAGTCTAGTTTAGCATTTTCCATCTATACACATTCTAAGTTAGCATTGTCCATCTGTATACAGTCTATATTAGCAATTGTCTATCTGTGTACAGTCTTTTATTGTTCCAGTCTGCTTCCACTGCAGGACTCTCCTTTTACAAATCTGTCTTGTTTAAAACTTGTGAGCCTCAGGCCACAAGCAGAGCACAGACACTGCCTCTGCTGCACTTTTTTTATTGGTGAAGCCAGTTTCATTCTTTACGAGCGCCCTAGGGAAGGAACCGTGAACCGTGGCACCCCCCTGACCCTCGCCCACGCACCCAGCCTGATGCACTCCTTCCTGGGTGTAGAAAGTCACAAAGCGTGGGTGTCTAGAGCCAGTTTCTCCGTCAGCAAAAGTTTGGGAAATTACATATTCAAATTTTCTGGGTGCAGCTCAACAAGGAGAAACTTTAAAACAGACCGATTATACAAACAGAAAAAATGCATAAATGGATTGATACACAACTTAAATCAATCAATGCAGGGTTTGTGTTATATAAATGAACAGCTTTTTTCAATTTCTGATAACATTCTTCAACTTTGGCCTTAAGTATGAACTGAAATCACTACTCACTTCTAAAATGTGTCTTTTATCTCTGGTCTCTCTCTGGTCTCTCTTGTTTATGCTGGAAATATCATTATAACAGCTTTACGGCATCAACGTTAAGAAATGTAGCATAAGCCTAATCATGGAGATGATATTAGAGAGCTGTCTTTATTATAATTGGCTTCGTGGTTGCTCTGTCGTCGATATCCCTGATTTTGGCTACAGGTTTCTAACACTATTGCATGCTTATGTATTCTATTTATTGAAGAGTAAATTGTTATTCAAGTTGAAATAT